CCTCGGGTGTTGGGCCCTCGGGTGTTGGGCCGCTGGGGGGTCCTGGGTGGGGGGAGTCGCAGCTCTCTCCCTGGAGAGGGCCTTGGGGGTCCCGGGGGTTGTCCTCTCGTGGCTGCATGCGGGGCCTCAGGTGGTCTGTGGCGGCAGTCGCGGGCTGCTGTCCGGTAGCTTGACTGTGCTGGGGGTGGCGTGGGGTGGGCGCAGGGTGCCTGAGGCTCTGGGGTTGTGCCCCCCTGGGCCGGGGACCATGGGGGCGGGGGGCGTGGGCCCCGGTGGGCTGCTGCTGGGCCTGGGCGGGCATGTGCCCAGCTGTGGACATGGAGCCTCCGGTGCGTTGGTGGGCTGTGGGTCTTACTGGCTGGGGGGCGGGTGTGGTTGGTGGGGGGGCGGTTGGACCTAGTCTGGGTGTCTAGTGTGTTATATGTTCTGAGAGATATCTGAATGTTGGGGCGAGTGTAGAATTTGTTCTGGTGTGGGGATTGGGTGGATGGCCATTGGTGCCGACCAGGGGCTGTGCTGGTCTGGTTGGCTGGCCCTTCTGCTGTGGCGGGGCTTGTCTGGGTGCCTCCTTGCACTGTCGACGGTTGGGTGGGCCCCTCGGCCGGATCGCCTGTTGGGGTTCGTGGCCTCTTTAGGTGGCGGGCTGGCTGTGGGGCTGGGGGTCGGTCCCAGGGGGTCTGGGCAACTCTGGAGTGGGTGGACTGTGGGTTCGGGCTCTGGTGGTCCTCTGGGCTCTGTCCAGCCTTGGTCTTGGCCCCCGGGCCTGGCGGTGTGTCTGGACGAACAGCCGCGTGGGCCTCAGTCCCTGGATGGATCATGGCAAGCGGGGGGCCTACTGGAGTCAGCGGGGGAGCTGGCTTCCTGTGGGAGCATTTTTGCTCCCCCAGTAGTTTTTCTCCCTGTCTCTCACCACATACCCCACCCTCTTCAATTACAACTTCATTCATGCAGGGTTCTGGGGAACAGGCTAGCTGCCTAGACCCCAATTTTATTAAACACTCTAGACACACTATAACATCTTCATGACATTCAMATATAGGAACTGTGGGTTGGGGGACCACTCTCTGACCACCGATATCTGTGCCCTCCCCCAATAGCTGCACATAGACACTTTGGGGTTTGGTTTGGAGTTGGGGTGGGGGGAAAACTGGCATCCCGCCAGCGTCTGCCCCTTCTTCCTCTCCTTTTAACTACACTATAGAACAACATGCATCAATAGCACATTTGAGGGTGGGTGTGTGTGAGTCGGGGTCTTCTTTTATTTATTTCTCACTCCCCCGTTTCCCGACTGACATCTGGGGGTGGGGCCCTGGTGGGGGCATGCCGCCGGGTGGGGGCCTAGACTGATGGTGGACTGGGAGCTTGGGGGGGCCCGGGGGGTCGGGCTTGCACTCTGGCTTCTCTGGAGCTGCGTGGACTCCGGGGATGTGGCTCCTGGTTATTCTGGTCGGCCCGCTGGCCGGGGTGGTCGCCGGGTTCCGGTGGGTGTCGGCTGGGGGTGTACCCTGGCCATTGGTGGTGGCTGGGGGATAGTCGGGGCATGGCCTTGCTGGGGCGGGGGTGGCCACTCAGGTCGGCGCGGTCCAGGCCGGGGCTCGGCCATCTGCTCCTCTCCACCTCAGGACAAATGGGTTTACCTCCTGGGTTCGGGTGTGGGCCGCCCTCTGTGGGGGGCGGGGGCATGCCCTGGACCTGGGGGTATAGAGTGTGCATCGGGAGTGCGAATGGAGTGTAGTGTTTATATTGTATGTCTTTGAATGGGTGGGTGTGAGGATGAGGGTGGGATTGTATGATTGTGTTTGTGCATGCATGGGTATGTGTCAGGCTGGGACGTGGACTTCCCCCTCACCTGGTTCATTTGTCGCCCCCATCCCATACCGCCCTCTGGTGGGGGTGCATTGCCCGCCAGCGCACGGATGGCTCGGGGTCTGGGGCTGGGTGCTCGGGTGTGCGCTGTCTCGGCCTGGTGGCTGCCTGTCAGGGCTTGGGTCCTTTGGCCCTGTCGGCTCTTGGCTTGCGGGGGGGCGCCCTGAGGGCCGGGCCCTCTGTGCCTATACCCGTGCTTGCCCTTGCGCAGCGGGTGCCGGCGGGGGCCTGCGTGCTCGTCACTGCGAGCCACTGTGGGGCTGCTACGTGTGGTCGCTGGTGGGGTTCTCCTGGGTCTCCCCTATGGTTTGACCTGGGGGTGGGTGTGCTGCTCTCCTCGCGTAGGTGTACCATGGGGCCCAGTGCTTGTGGTTCCTCCTGGGGTCGTTGGCTCTGGCGTCCCTTTATGTCTGCCTCGTGCTTTGGGGGTCGGCTCTGAGACTCTCCCACAGTCACTATTATACATTCCGTTGGAGAAATCCTGTAAATTTATGCTTGCTCACAACTGCACGCAGACAGGTGTTCAGATCCGAGGGGTTCTGAATGATCACCAGGTATATATAGGTGGGTGTTTGTTTATCTGTCTGAATGTATATATGTATGCTTTTGCTAAGTTTTGTAACCTTAATTCTTTGCAGGTGTGCAGGCAGATGTTGGATGGATTGTATTGTTTTACTGACGTATATCTCACATATCATCAATTCTTTCTTTCACTTTTTTCCATTACATTGTAACTTTTCTTTCCTTTCCATCTTTTTTTCCTTTCTTTCGTCTTCTTTCTTGTCTATCTAAAAAAACATTGATGATGAAGAAGTTAAGATACTAATATTCAGATATTTAGTACTACTTTCTAATCAAGTGGTTAAAAAAAGACCTAGCCCACAAACCATTTACCATACTAGCAGCCAGCCAGCAGTGCCAGCTTGTCACCAGATCTGGCCCACACACATCTGATGTATGAAACTTGACACAATTCGGAATAGGAGTGTCATTACAAATGAAGAAAGTAGGAACAGAGAAGAAAGAAGTTCACGGAGTCCAAAGAAAAAAAGACCAAAAAAAACTTGTTTTGGGTGCAAATGAACACAAAGCCACAGGTCGGAGTTAAAGCCTGAAGCAAGCAGGTTTTATCATAAGAGATCTGCCTGGAGAATGAGATGAGAATCCTTCATGGCTAAAGGAGAGAAGAGTGGAAATGGGTAGAACAGGGAGGGGATGATGCGTTTGTCACAGCTGGGTTATCTCACTGAAACCTGTGATGAGAGAGATGAAACGCAGAGTGGATGCAGCTTGCCATATGTTCATCCTGGCTCAGGATGTTCTCTGAATACCCACAGACAAACATCAACCACTGTTAAATATTCTCTCTCTCTCTCTCTCTCTCTCTCTCTCTCTCTCTCTCTCTCTCTCTCTCTCCCAAAGTTAAACACTTTCAATACTTTGATACTCTGCAATATGTTGAAAATAACCTAATAAAAGTTATGTAGTTGCTATTTACTTTAAATGACCCATTGCTCAATTTGTGTAGTGCATGTTTTATTAGTTGCTACCATTAATCTTTATAAAAGTTAGCATTGTATCTGTAATCCTGCTTGACATCAAGCTGGTCATGTAGCATCTGGAGATACTCAAGAAGTTGAGTGCAATTTCCCAGTGTTTGTGAGTATGTGTGTGCTTGGAGAAAGGCTGGTTAAAAGCCAGTTGTAATGTTTTGTCAGACAGTGTGAAATCTGTTGCAACTCACTAAAAATCTCAAGGTGGGCTGTGGGTGTAGGTGCTTACAAGTTTAATACACAATGTTTTATATTTGAGCAACATGGTTTCCAATTGTGCCCTATTTGTCAGTGGTGCTTTATTTCATGCTTTTATTTCATATACTTTATTTCATGTTTTAGAAATGATTCAGCTTGAACTTATGAGATGAACTGAATGCACAAGAGATATGGCTCAGACAAATCCTTCTATCTTTATTCTAGCTTAATCAGGTATGTAGGACATTGGCAAGTTCCACTTAAATTCTTAAATTCATGGGCTTTAGGTTAACATGAATCCTTCCTACTGTTTCCAAACAGATAGCAAAAATAGAGCCCTTATGAGTCCATGGCTGTTTTTTTTTCTTTCTGTAAGTAACACGTTGATCTGCTATACTCGTAGGTAAATGCAGCTAAAACTTACAGTATTTATTCATGTATAATATGATATGATGTATAATG